ATATGGACCAATAGGCTTTCTACAAACACTTCTATTCAATACCCATTGTTTGTGTTCTGTCTTGTGTTGATACTTTTATTACCCTATTAATATCCCCTTTTGTTCTGTCTTGTGTTAATGCCACATCACCCCTCCCACCTCACTCAAATGTAGATATAAAATCGGAGATACGTAAGTTCTATTCAGTTGTGTATTTGTGAACTAAAAGTCTTTGAAAATGTAATAAGTTTTACGAAACGCGCCCGTGTCGCGTCAGACTAGAAATAAAAATGAATTTTGGAGAATTGATTTTTGATTTACCTCCAACAGTGAAGCGTAATGTACGAAAGATTGAGAAAATTCGTGTTAGAATTATTAATCTTACTTTTTCGGTCATATTTAATAATTTTATTTATATAGATGTGGCATTGAATATACATGTAGCGTTGATTATGCATGTGGCATTGATTATGCATGTGGTGTTGATTTTACATGTGGCGTTTATTACACATGTGGCGTTGATTACACATGTGGCGTTGATTTTACATGTGGCGTTTATTATACATGTGGCGTTTATTATGCATATGACATGGATTATACATACAAAGATTGACTACACATGTGGCATTTGTTATACATGTGACATTGGTTAAGTGGCGTTGATTATACATGTGTCATTTGTTATACACGTGGCATTAATTATAAATATGAAATTTATTATTCATTCATAAATATGACATATGATATTTTTAATTACACATGTGACATTCATTATACATCATATGGTATTGATAACACTAGTGGCACTGAATATGCATGTGACCTTCTGTATACATATGATGTTGGCTATACATGTGGCATTGTTTATGCGTGTCTGTATGTCTGTGTCTCAACCATCGTAAGCACACCTATTTGTGCTTGCGATGGTTGAGCTCTGGCTCTTTGGTCCCGCCTCTCAACTGTAAATAAACTGGTGAACTGGTTCCTGAGCCTTTTGAGCTCTATCATATGTCCACTTGAAACAGTGTATGGGGTTTGCCTCCACCACATCACTTCCTAATGCATTCCATTTGTCTACTACTCCGACAATAACAAAAAAATTTCTAATGTTTCTATGGCTCATTTGAGCACTCAAGTTCCACCTGTGTCCCCTAGTGCATGTGCCCCTTGTATTAAATAGCCTGTCTTTATCTTTATATATCAATTCCTTTGAGATTCTTGTATGTGGTGATCATGTCCCCTCTAACTCTTCTGTCTTCCAGCAACGTGAGGTTTAATTCTCGTAGTCTCTCCTCGTGGATCAAACCCCTCAGTTCGAGTAATAGTCTGGTGGAAAACCTTTGAAGCTTTTCCAGTTTAGTCTTATGCTTGACTAGATATGGACTCCATGCTGGAGCTGCATACTCGAGGATTGGTCTGACATATGTGGTATACAAAGTTCTGAATGATTCCTTGCACAAGGTTCAAAAGACCGTTCTTGGCATATGCCGCTGATGCTATCTTCTTGATATGGGCTTCAGGAGACAGGTCTGGCGTGATATCGACTCCCAGGTCTTTCTCTCTGATTCTTGAAAAACTTCATCTCCCAAATTATACCTTGTATCTGGCCTCCTGCTCCCTACATCTATCTTCATTACATTACATTTGCTTGGGTTAAACTTTAACAGCCATTTGTTCGACCATTCCTTCAGTTTGCCCGGGTTTTCCGGAAGCCTCAAGCAGTCTTCCTTCTTAATTTTGTCTTAATCCTACTCATAATTTTGGCGTCGTCAGCAAATATTGAGAGGAATGAGCCAATACCCTCTGAAAGATCATTTACGTATATTAGAAACAGGATAGGTCCGAGTACAGAGCCCTGTGGGACTCCACTGGTGACTTCACGCCAATCTGAAGCCTCACCCCTCACTGTAACTCTCTGCTTCCTATCGCTTAGGTATTCCCTTATCCACAGGAGCACCCTACCTGTTACTCCTGCTTATGCACCAGCCTATCATGGGGTATTGTGTCAAAAGCTTTCCAATAGTCCAATAAAATGCAGACCGTTCTACAGTTCTTTCTTGTTAAATCTTTGTCACCTGATCGTAGAATTATATTAAGCCAGTAAGGCAAGAGTTACTTTTCCTGAACCCATGTTAATGGCTTGTCACGAAGTTCCTTCTCTCCACATGAGTTACTAGTTTTTTTCTCATGATCTTCTCCATCACCTTGCATGGTATACAAGTTAAGGACACTGGCCTGTAGTTCAGTGCCTCTTGTCTGTCACCATTTTTGTATATTGGGACTACATTAGCCGTTTTCCATATTTCTAGTAGGTCTCCCGTTTCTAGTGAACTACTATACACTATGGAGAGTGGCAAGCAAAGTGCTTCTGCACACTCTTTCAATACCCACTGTGAGATTCCGTCCGGACCAACAGTCTTTCTCATGTCCAGATTCAACAGATGCCTCTTGATCTCATCTCTTGATATTTAGATCCCTTCCAAGCCCTCCAGGTTTACTGCCACCTCTCCTAGCGCAGTAACCTCACCTTGTTCTGATTGTGAAGACCTCCTGGAACCTTTTGTTGAGGTATTCACATACCTCTTTGTCGTTCTCTGTGTACCTGTTCTCATCGGTTGTAAGTTTCATCACGTGTTCTTTCACTGTTCTTTTCCTCCTGATGTGACTTTGGAGTAGCTTTTGTTCGGCCGTGGCTTTATTTGCTATATCTTTTTCATATTTTTTTTCTCTCCTTCTCTCACTAACTTTCTTATTATTCCTGGTTCTCTGGTATCTCTCGCTACTTTCTGGCGTTCTGTTATTTCGGAAGTTCCTCCACGCCCTTGTGTTCACTTCCTTTGCTTCCATACATGTCCTATTAAACCATGGATTCTTCTTTTACGTCTCGGTTTTTTTCCTTTGGGCAGGGATGAACCTGTTTACTGCCTCCTGACACTTTTGAGTGTCATAGTCCATCATGTTTTGAATGGACTTAGTTCTGAGGTCTGTGTTCCATGGAATATTGCTTAGGAATTTTCACATCTCCTCGTAATTTCCCTTTCAGAACACCAGCCCTTTGTTTCCTAGTTCTTTTTTTTGGGGAGATAAATCCTAGCTCTATCAGGTACTCAAAAATCAATACACTGAGATCACTCATTCCCAAGGGTGCTTCCAACTTAACTTCCCTTATATCCGACTCATTTAGGGTAAATATCAGATCAAGCACAGCTTTTTCATCTTCACCTCTCATTCTTGTTGGTCCCCCTTAATGTGTTGGCTTAGAAAGTTTCTTGTTGTCGCGTCCAGCAGTTTACCTCTTCATGTGTCTGGTCCTCCACGTGGGTCTCTGTTCTCCCAATCTATCTTCCTGAGGTTGAAGGTTCCTATGACTAGTAGTCCAGGTCCGTTCCTGCTAGCGACAGAAGCTGCTCTCTCAATTATTCTAGTGTCCAAGTTGGTTCTATCATATACGTGTTTGGGTCTTCTGTTATTTGGCGGGGGTGGGTGGGGGGTTATATATGACTACTACTAAAAGTTTTTGTCCTCATATTGCTATGGTACCTGTTTTGTAGTCACTGTAGTGAAGGTTTGTAATAACAAACCTTCACAGCCCTGAATAACTAACTCCTCAAATTTCCAGCCTTTTCTTATCAGCAAAGCTACACCACCTCCTCTTCCATCTCTCTGTTTCCTCACTATATAATAATCCAGCAGAAACACTGCATTTGTTATGATTTTCGTTAGCTTTGTTTCTGTGACTGTTATTATGTCTGGGATTTCTTCCAGTACCCATTCTTCAAGTTCATTTGTTTTATTTGTAATCCCATCTATGTTAGTGTACATTGCCTTGAAGTTCACTTTCTTTTGTTCATTCTCATGTCCCCTTCTTGGTGAGCGTTCTGTTGATGGGGGAAGCTGCTCCATAGGTATGATGATTTGTGAGGTAGTTAACAGGGTCTCCGAGGATACTGCGGTGAGAGGCGGGGGTCTAGGGCAGGCGGGGACAAGGGACAGGGAGGGAATGGGATAAAGGAGGAGGGAGACAGGGAGGGAAATCAGGGAGGGGAACATGGTGGGAATGGCGGAGGGGTGATTGGGTGGGAATAGAGTGGTAGGGGCAAGGAGGGAGGGAGGGTTGACTGGGCATTTGAGTGGGGGCAGGTAAGGTTAGGGGTAGGGAAGGTTTCTAGGCAGAGGAGGGTGGTGGTGTTGCCCTCCCCTCTGGTGTTGCTGGGATGCTGGTTGTGGGTTCCCTTTTGTCTCTAGGAATGTTGTGTTGGGCGCTGTTATTTCCTGGTTTTCTCCTCTCACTATGCGCTCTATTCGTTCTCATATTGTAGTTAGCTCTTTCTTGCTAGAATATTCTCCTTCGTGTTCTCGTTTGCAAACACTAACTTTATCAGGTAGTCTCTGTCCTTGTTGCATCAGCTTAACCTGAAAACCTTCTCAATGCTTTGTTCAGCCCCTTCCATCTATAACCCTTTTGGTATTTCATTCACTGCCACTCTCTCCTTATTCCATTCTGTCCTACTGGTTCCTCCCTTGACTGAACAGGTTCCAACTGTCAAGAATCTGTTTCTTATCATCGCTTGCTGTTGTGGGCTCGAAACATGGCAGATAACAGCTACAAGTCTTATGAGGCGAGTGTGCTAAGCGGCAGCTTTGGAGCCTGGAGCCTACTGTGTGTCTGTGTATCTGTGTGTTACTCTTCACTTAGTGAAGAGTAAATGACTGACTTGATACCTAGTGACGAGGGTCTCTTAATAGACTCTAAGGTTCTGTAATGGCACTTTAGGAGAACAGTTTCAGAGTAAATGACAGTGAAATGAGATTTAAATATTGTATAGTTATTGACCCTGAAGCGCGTCGAGAATAATTAAGCTGGGGCGAGAAAGTTGAAGTTATTAAAACAAAATCTATATCAAGGATGAGAAGTTCGGGGAATGTGTTAATAAGACTTAAAACAAGCTTAGGTTAGAGCTGACTCAGGAACCACTTGTGTGAGAGGCTGTAGGAAAAAGTCTGGCAATTTATATTTAATGATGCTCAGGGTAAAACCTGCTGAGCCACGGCAGCAGGAGGCGCTGCTTGCTGAGCAACGGCAGCAGGAGGCGCTGCCTGGTGAGCTACGGCAGCAGGAGGCGCTGCCTGCTGAGCCACGGCAGCAGGAGGCGCTGTCTGCTGAGCCACGGCAGCAGGAGGCGCTGCCTGCTGAGCCACGGCAGCAGGAGGCGCTGCCTGCTGAGCCACGGCAGCAGGAGGCGCTGCCTGCTGAGCTACGGCACCAGGAGGCGCTGCCTGCTGAGCTACGGCAGCAGGAGGTGCTGTCTGCTGAGCCACGGCAGCAGGAGGCGCTGCCTGCTGAGCTACGGCAGCAGGAGGTGCTGTCTGCTAAGCTACGGCAGCAGGAGGCGCTGCCTGCTGAGCTACGGCAGCTGGAGGCACTGCCTGCTGAGCCACGACAGCAGGAGGCGCTGCCTGCTGAGCTACGGCAGCTGGCGGCACTGCCTGCTGAGCCACGACAGCAGGAGGCGCTGCCTGCTGAGCTACGGCAGCTGGCGGCACTGCCTGCTGAGCCACGACAGCAGGAGGCGCTGCCTGCTGAGCTACGGCAGCTGGAGGCACTGCCTGCTGAGCCACGGCAGCAGGAGGCGCTGCCTGCTGAGCTACGGCAGCTGGAGGCACTGCCTGCTGAGCTACGGCAGCAGGAGGCGCTGCCTGCTGAGCCACGGTAGCAGGAGGCGCTGCCTGCTGAGCTACGGCAGCTGGAGGCACTGCCTGGTGAGCTACGGCAGCAGGAGGCGCTGCCTGCTGAGCTACGGCAGCAGGAGGCGCTGCCTGCTGAGCCACGGCAGCAGGAGGCGCTGCCTGCTGAGCTACGGCAGCAGGAGGTGCTGTCTGCTGAGCCACGGCAGCAGGTGGCGCTGCCTGCTGAGCTACGGCAGCAGGAGGTGATGTCTGCTGAGCTACGGCAGCAGGAGGTGATGTCTGCTGAGCTACGGCAGCAGGTGGCGCTGCCTGCTGAGCTACGGCAGCAGGAGGTGATGTCTGCTGAGCTACGGCAGCAGGAGGTGATGTCTGCTGAGCTACGGCAGCAGGAGGCCTGCTGAGCTACGGCAGCAGGAGGCCTGGTGAGCCACGGCAGCAGGAGGCGCTGCCTGCTGTTACAGCGGACAGAATTATCATAGTGACTGCCTCAGCAAAACCAACAGCACGTCTTCCGTTGTTGCTTCAGCGCGACTACCAAGGCTGCAAGTGTGAGGATGAGCACAAATGTAAAGTACTTGTCAGGTGAGGAGAGGCAGCACACTCGCCTCGTACATCTTGCCAGTGATATCGGCCATGGTTCGAGCCCACGGCAGCATGCGATGATAATGTGAATATTTAAGACTGATGGAACCTGATCGGTCTAGAAGGACCCAACAAATTAGAATAGATTCTCTTAATCTCAATTGTAATGGTATGAGCAGTTGCAAATGAAGATATGTAACTGTTTATCACTCAGAATGTTTGGTAATATGTTGGTTGTATGTAATGAGTGTCTATGTATATCTTTATAAAGAAAAATGGAAATGTTCGTTTGTTCAAAATCGTTAATCTCCGAAAATTCTTCACCGATTGCCTTGAAATTTTCACACAACGTTCCCTTCGCATTCGAGCGGGTTTATATATATATATATATACTATATAGATGTCACGTCTGTGACGGGAAAAAAACATGTTTTTTGTAAAAACCTGTGTTTTTCATGTGTTTTTCAAGTGAGGTAAATCTTCGAAACCTCTTTACCGATTGCTTTGAAATCTTGACATAACATTGCATTCGAATAGGCGAGTATTTTTATATACCTACTATATACATGCCTCACCTGTGACAGGAAAAAACATATTTTTCTTGAAAAACAGCGCCATCTGTAAGACGTATTAGCAACACACGCTGTAATCACCGAAAGTTCTTCACCGATTGCTTTGAATTTTTTACACAACGTTCCTTTCGAATAGGTGCGTGTTTTGATATACCTATTATTTAGACGCCACACCTGTGACAAGTGAAAACATGCATTTTTTGAAACAGCGCCATCTGTTGCACGTAGGAGCAACATACGATAAACAAAATATGTTATGATTCTATTTCAATGTTTCCGATTGCATTGATTTATTGAATTTTCATAGATTTTTATTTATTTTTATTTTGAATTAATTAATTTGTGTGACGTTGCGTTGGTATTGAACTGTGATGTTTACCATACCGTTCATTTCATGGGTATAGTTTATTTGTTTCTTTTTTCATTGTTTTTCATTTAATTTTTTTAACTGTTCTTCATATTTTTCAGTGCAATTGGCGGTGAAATTGAGCTGTGTCGATTGATCTGTGTTGGAATGAAATATTTCGTTAGTATTTTTTGTTTTTGTTTTGATAACAAGAAAATGGACAACACGTTTATTTCACAGCTGCAAATGTGCAACAAACAGCTATGAATCCACCGGCTGCAATATTAACTGCGTTCTTCACGTTATGTCAAAATTACGCGTTTGCGAAAACACTGCTGTATTCGGAAGTGCCTTCGTATTACACATGGAATGCCAGTAGAACATTTTTGAACGACGTAAACGAGGAGAGCGAGTCGACGGACAACCTGGCATATTCAAACAAACTACGATAGGCAGACCAGACCACTCACTAGAATGTGAAGGGACGACGACGTTTCGAAGGGACTGGGACGTCGTCGAAGGGACTCTCTGTTCACTAATGTTCCGCTCGATGACGTTCTCTCTTTCCTTAGACAGAAGGCGCCAGAGAGTCTCCTTCCTCTCCCACTTCCCACTGACGTTTTCCTCGATCTCATTAGACTCTGTGTTGACTCTAACTCTTTCTCTTTCAACGGTAAATATTACACTCAAACTTTCGGTGTCGCTATGGGTTCCCCTCTCTCCCCTGTTCTTGCTAATTTCTACATGGAATACTTCGAAACTGTTCTTCTTCCTTCTATTGATACTCGTCCCTCTCTCTGGCTTCGCTATGTTGATGACATTTTTGCTTTATGGCCTCATGACCTTAGTCTTTTCCAGCCTTTCCTCTCCTCTCTTAACAATCTGGCTCCTTCTATCCATTTTAAAGTTGAGTGGGAATCTAATTCCCTTCTTCCTTTTCTTGACGTTCACATTCACAGTTCTGTGTCTGGGTTCTCTTTCTCTGTCTACCGTAAACCCATGCATAGTGGCATGAACATTCACTTCTTTTCCTACCACCCTCCTTCTGTTAAGAAAAGTGTCCTCGTCTCTCTCTTCCTCCGCGCTCTACGCATCAGCGACCCTCAGTTTCTTGATTCTGAAATTACCTTTATCTACAAATCATTCTCTCTCCTTGGTTACCCTTTGCATTTCATTAACTGTGCCTACTCTCAAGCTAAACGAAATTTCTTTCATCCTAAACCTGCTTCCAACACTAGTAGCACTGTACAATGCCTTCCCTTCATATCTGAACTAAAAACTTTTACCAATACCTTTCGTCCTCTTGACATTAATTTAAACTCGCCTTTCGACAAACTAACACACTTCGTAGCAATCTACTTCACACTGCTCCTCGTGCTTCTAATGCTGCTAATGTCTACTCTATTTCCTGTTCGTCTTGTCCTCTCCAATACTTTGGCGAAACTGGCCGTACACTGAATGACAGACTTAAAGAACACATGAAAAGTGTTAATTTAAGTCTGCAGACACTAACAATGCTCTCTTCTGCCATGTGAGGGATTCTAATCATCCCATTGATTGGTCTTCCTCCAAAATAATATTTCCTGCCTCTACTCTACACAGACGCCGTCTTGTTGAATTGGCTCTTATTAACAATGTACCCAACATGAACTTGAGTCCTGGCTTTGTTTTTGTGGACTCTTCCCTTTCACAGTATATACTCAAATGCTCTAATCTTTCTAACAAACGTGACCTTACCTAAGCTTACCCTTTCCATTTATCTTTCTTTCTCTTTCCTTTCTCTCTTTTTTTCTGTTCATTGTCTTCTTCTACGTTCCCTTGCTTTCCTCTTCTTAATCCTATTATTTTCTCCTTCTCCTTAGGTGGTTATAATAGTAACTGCCTCGTATGGGCCAATAGGCCCTCTGCAGTTCTTACTACTACACCTTACTTTGTTCCTCTTCTCTCTCGTGCCTATTCCTGTACTTCCTAATCACAATCGACTTCAGAATGGTCGAGGACGGACCGAAACGTCGTCGTCCCTTCACATTCTAGTGTGTGGTCTGGTCAACATACTTTAGCCACGTTATTGTGACTCATCGCCTGCATACGATATGCAGACTGTACTCCATGTATTCCAATCAGGATGAATGCTTCTTTCTTCGCAAGCTGTTGGTAAATGTGCCCAGTGCAACGGCTTTCCAGCAAATGAGATTTGTCAACGGCGTAACACATGCCACTTCCCGTAGTGCATGTCAAGCTCGGAATATATTGGAGAACGACCGACACTGGGACATATGCATTAATGACGCGTCCAACACGTCACATCCAAATCAAATTCGTGCATTGTTTGCAATCATATTGACCACCGGCTCTCCTTCATCTCCAACAGAGTTATGGGAGAAACACAAATCGCACATGGCTGAAGATATTATCCGTCGAATACACAAGGAAAATTCAAATATGAACATGAATTTCACAGCAGAAATCTACAACGAAGCGTTGATAATGATTGAAGATTTGTGCTTAGAAATCGCGAACAAAGTTTTCAATCAATTGGGAATGCCATCATCGAATCGATCTGCTGCTGCTTCGTTCGATGTAAAATTGCGTCGTGAACAAAATTACAACACGGGTGATCTGTTGTCGTATGTGCAATCAAATATTCTTAAGCTAACTCTTGAGCGAAAAGGCATTTACAATCAAATAATTCAAACTGTCAATAACGGGTTTACAGAAATATTTTTAGATGAGCCAGGAGGAACTGTAAAACCTTTCTAATTAGATTGATTTTGACAGCATTTCGATCCCAAAAAGGCATAACCTTTGCTCTTGCATCGTCTGGAATAGCTGCGACATTGTTACCAGGTGGAAGAACTGCTACTTCGGCTTTGAAATTGCCATTGAACATGCAATCAAGTAGGAGTTTATGGAAACTCCTACGTGCAACATTTCCAAAGCATCCGGCATGGGAAAAGTATTGCAGAAATGTAAACTTATTGTTTGGGATGAATGTACAATGGCCCACAAAAAAATACTCGAGGCTCTTGATCGACCATTGCAAGATTTGCGTGGAAACATCAGACCATTTGGGAACGCATTACTATTACTTGCAGGAGATTTCAGGCAAACATTACCTGTAATTCCTCGATCGACACCAACAGATGAAATAAATGCTCGCCTGAAATACTCTACTTTGTGGTGCCACGTAATATATATATATATATATATATATATATATATATATATATATATATATATATATATATATATATATATATATATATATATATACTGGGTGGTATATAACACGACAATGTGGGCACTAAAAAAAAAAATATATATATATATATATATATATATATATATATATATATATATATATATATATATATATATTAAATATGACCGAAAAAGTAAGATTAAAAATTCCAATACAAATTTTCTCAATATTTCTTATGTTTCTTTTCACTGTCGATGGTAATTGAAAAATCAGTTCTCCAAAATTCATTTTTATTTCTAGTCTGACGCGACACTTGAACGTGTT